CGAGAAGGGACGTGCGGACGTCACACTAATTTTGAGTGGAGCACTTCACACAAGATCTTGCGCTATTGTTCACCCGTCACCGGGCAGATATGTATTCGACGTTACTGGTCTTTCGGACGAAATTCGTTTAGTTATAGCCACTTTCCCGTCACTTTAGCGCCTGGTCACATGTTGCTGCATGCCGATGCTCTTTCCTTGCACCTTATTTTTCAGTACTGACTATGTGTGTGCTAGTCAACTCAAAAGGTATTCACAACTGCTCGTAGCACCGCTAGGAAGATATTGACGCCATAAGAAACTGAGGCACAGGCATTGGTGGGTCCAGTCCGCCCCTTGCTGATGGGGCAGGGCATGCTCTCGTCCCTAGCGGTGACCTCGCAAGGCGCTTCTTTATATCGGAGGCTTTCATCCTCGCGATGACGGTTTTCCCGGCTCTTATCGAATTCCTGTCAAAAATGGCAATGGGCAGCACAAGAATATGAAAGTGGCCTCCAGCGTCATACCCCAGAGCCACAGAACACCACCGGTGCGCTGCTTAGAACCAAAGCGGAATCTAGCAATACAGAGCTTTGTTCAAGGAGACAGTCCATATTTTCATGGTTTCCTTTTTTCACTATTCGAAAGGCTCTTTGCTCTCTTCTCTCTCTGGAGTACACCCTCCCCCCTTTCGCGCCGCGCCGCCACCGATCCTATGAGCCCCACGTCGATCACGCGGCGCCGCCGGAGGTTAAAACACAGACGCGCCGCCGCCGGCAATTTTCTTACCGGCGCACAGGTCTGGTCGAGACCTGCTCCAGACTTCATGGACGCGGCGAAACGTAAGAGCAACAGCGTACGCTCACCCAAGCGTGCACATCAAGCACCAGGGCGTAATTCCTAGATCGTCGAGCTCTCGCAGCGCGACGGAACGCCAACCGCCAGCAGCAAAATAAGGGGGAACACTGAGCCAAGAGGGAGGAGGACGGCTAGTTTTCTCGGCAACCGTTGGCGAACAGCCCGCATCTCCCGCGCGGTTCATCGCTTTGGAGATAAGGTGGTTTGTACGCGGCGCGCATCCCTCTGTGGTTACTCCTCAACGGTTTCTCCGTTCATCGCGCGCGCCTGTTGGGCTCCGTTACTCCTTTTTCGGGTAATTTAGCCTTAGAGTCTTGGAGATTCGCTGCTGAATACCACAATTGTAATGAAAGAGACTCGGAGACAAGACATTTGCTACAGGCTGGCTGTTCTTTATCTCCCTTGGTTACTCTCCCTTTTCTACTAAGCCCCACACGCACCCATGCCCAATACTACATATACATTACACTCGGCCACACTTCGAAATTGCACGACCAGCTCCATAAGGCGTTCGGGCGGACGACAATGGCTGTGCCGCAATGGTAATCAAAGTCCAATAGGCTTTGAACTCAGAACTGTCATTGCTAGCGATACTGTCTCTGGTGGGCGGTGTTGGCTGTTCCTTTGGGGAGGAGGAGGAGAAAAACTTTATTCATTCCAAGAGGGAAAGGTGCGGTGGTGGAGTGTCAGAGGAGCCTACCCAGCGTAGGTCTCCACTACCCTCTTGGCCCAATCCAAGATTTGGTCCTGGACCTCGGGCGCCGAGCTGCACATAGCAGCCTCCCACTGCTTCTTACTATTAATGTCCTTCTAGAGTACGCCATGGCTTGCCTCGCTGTTCTACCTGACACTCTGGCGGACGGCCTTAGGTGCCTTGAGGAGACGTCCACAGTGCGTCCTGCTTTGATCGTATTTCGATGATAGCTCTGGCGGGAGCCACTGGCTATGTCGAGACGGTCGTCGCACGCATCGCCGCAGATTACGCCGTCGCTGTTTCGAGTTCAGCTGTAGGCCAGGCTTGTTCATGTTGGCCCTTTCGGCCCTGGTGTCGCCAATTGACGATATCATACAAAGCTTCTCCTAGAACCTTGAAAATATGATAGAGCCCGCTAATTCTCGGAGAAGCATTTTTTCAACTGCGCCCACTGCGATTGACACCACCGTTGTTTCATTTTCGCGGAGCATGGAGCCGTAAAGAAGAGTAATCTGGACCAAGGTTGTTGGTGACAATGACGCGGGCAAGCAGAGGCGGGAAGGCGACACTTTCGGGTTGAAGTCCTGAAATTTTTTTAAGAGCTTCTACACTTTCAGATAATGCGTTTGTTCAGATTTAGTGCACTATAGGATATAAGAGCAATTAATTTGAGATTTTTCTCATTTCATGGCTACAAGGCCATGATAGCCTAATTTGATATCATGTCTATAAATTCATACATACTCATATTACTGACTAAAGTTTTTGTTTGTGTTCTTCTGAGACACTAACTAGTTGTAAAATATGTACTAAGAATTCATGTGACTGACAAAATAAAAAGTTGCAGGGCTGAAAGGGTTACTGTATTAGGCAGCCAAATTCTTGCCTAACTAAGTATGCCGGCCTGTTCGCACAGGTTGCGATTTTCGGCCATGGTGACCTGACGCAGGAACCTCTGTGCTGCCGTCAGTGCGATCTCGTGTTGCACGTCCACGAGGAAGCGAAGTGCTGTCTCATGTTTTTGTATGGCAGCATTCATAGGGGTTAATGCCAGAATTGCTGTACATCTCACTGCAGTCGCCAAGTGTCATCTCGTTGCTTCGAGTGAGCTGGTCGCCATCTGGCCGCTTCAGGTCGGTTTCCCCGTTAACGCAGACTGTCTAGTGGTGATCCGCATGATACTCAGCTTGTACGCTAAAAGTCATAATGCACTTCCCATCATCGCTAGCAGAGCTGCTCACCGGAATGCTGGAAGGACTGATGCTGGCTTCATCCGCTTGTGGCGCATCGCTAGCTTCGGTCAAAGTGCGGGGGGCAGATTCCGTCAAATCAGGCATGTCTTCCACGAGTGTGTCATCGGTAGCCATGGATTTATTCAGAGAAGCACTCGCACACTCGAACAATGACTGCCGTTACGCAGATAGATCTCCATCCAGCTGGTCACTGAGGGTGCTCTCGTTGCTGGATGTTTGTGCCTGCGATTCTTCAGCCGGGGCTTCCGAGACAAGGGTGAAGCAGTGGAGCTTCACTCGTTCACAATTTATGGTGAGCTGAACTTTACTTGACAAGAGGTAATCAGCTCCCAAATTCATGTCTACATGGAAGTGCTCGAAGACCCGAACGGTGGCAAGAAACGTTCTCCCGGTTTTGGTGCGTGTCTGCAAATCCAGTGCTCCGACAGGCAACACGCCCCTACCGAGACCACACGATGACGCATCAAACTAAAGGTAGAGGATGACTAGGGCATAACGTTGATGTAGCACAGTGCATGGAGCTCCTGTTTGTACAACTACCGTGAGCTTGCCTATTCCGCCGACGCAGACTTGTAGCGTAAGAAAAAGCCACGTTGGGCGATGGACGACTCAATGCCGTGCACGTGATGGTGCCAGGTTCTCAGCCCAGTTACCGAAACTCGGCGGGAGGTAGTTTTTCTGGACTGGATGTGAGATCCAGCCGAGTCGAGTGTTGCGAAAAATGAAGTCAGAACTACTTGTCGATGAGGCGCAGTGTTTAAGTGCAGCCTCGAGGACGTGCTCATCCTTAGCTCCATTCTCGGTATACGTCATGTTTCATGGTGGGTATGGCCGAAAACAGCGATGAGCCTGGCCCTCCATTGCAGGGAGGTCGGTAACTTGATGCCCTCATATTTATGCCACACCTCGTCACCACGCCAAGGTGAACGATGACCACCAGCCATTTATAATTTTCTTGCCTGGCATGCCACGAGCCGATCGTGTTGATAGTAGTCTCCAATAATTTATGAGCGTCATCCTCGAAGCCTCAGAGCTCCGGTACTTCCTAGAGAGCGTTATAAGGTGACGCGGCTAGACGGAATCCGTAGCTCAACGATGCCAGCTGGACAAGCAGGCGGACACTTGCGTGAGGTGACGCCACAACTCAGCGCTGTGGTTGGTGGGGGTGCCCAATGCACCATGGGTGGGGCTCGCAGAGTACGTGGTGGTCCCGGTGCTCACGGCCGGATTCATGGCTGAAGACGCGTGAACGGTGTCCCTTGTCGTGAGCTGGTACCGGTAAAGTGTACTGGAGCTGCCGTGGAGGCCATGCACCTTCTCCGAACTGTGGTGGCAGTGGTGGCAGGCGAACAACTGCCTAGGAGGCTTGGACGCCATTCTCAATGTGCGCTTACCGCGGTTGCACGTTGGCGGGTGTCCTGAACGACGTAGCCGGGATGTAAGACTTCTTCTTCAGCGACTGCACAATTGCATTGAACGACACTCGGAGACAACACTTTTGCTGCAGGCTGGCTGTTTTGTTTTGTTTTGTCACCTAGGAGACCTCGGCTCATAACCACAAGGGAGATTAGCCACACTGTACCTTATAAAATAAATGTTTATACAGTGCTTGCTGAAAGAGAGAAAAATCAGATAAGAACGACATGAATAATGCGGCTGTTTTTTATCTCCTCCGTTCTTCTCTTCCTTCTACTATACCCCACACGCACACACGCCCGAGCTCCACTACATTCACATTACAAAAAGAAGTTCAAATTTCCGACTTGTCTTTACACCATTACCAATTATCCTGACATCACATAATGAATGGGGAATTCGGCTACGGCTTTGTGTGACATTACTCAGAAGATGATGCATCAGGAATGTGTTGTCTTCATTGTTAAGATGTGTTTGTTTGCTCATGCCTTGCCTCTTAGGATCTGAGAGTAGATTTTAGAAAAACGACACAATACCGACAATGGTATGGCTTCTATGTAGCTTCAGAGTGCCTATAAAAACAAACAAATGTATGGGCCACAGAGCTTACAACGAATTCAACGTACAAGGGAGCGGTTGTATCCACAAGTGCTTCCATGTAACATTTTAATGCATCGTCCGCAGCAGCTGTTTTACCAACACGTGCGCGCAGACCCAGAGCGCTGCCAAGGGCGACGTACTGTAGGCCAAGTGCTGGTGGCACCATACGATCTCAATTGCGCGAAATTATGAAATGCACTCACGAAAAAACGTTTCCGGCAGCGAAGAGACCATCTGCAATCAACGTGGGATCAAAGGGCTCCCACTCTTCTCTCGGAAGGTACGCAAGCAGCGGGTGCTCGTCTATTTCCTGTGTCTCCTGTCAAACAAAAAGAAAAAAAGTTTGTCGCCACGATTTCGAGGAAGGTTGCAAGCTTTAACTTCTGGCATATGCGATTCGCCTTCGTAGATAATTGGCTAAAATGTTGGCTGTTAGAACAACCGCCACAATCAGAAGTGCAACGCTGGTCACTATGGCAGTGACTTAGGCTGGGGTGACGCACGTGCAGTGTACAGAACAATGCTTGTAACGCAAGTTTAGCTCTGCTATAGCGTCATAATATGCGTGGTGGTCTATTTCAGTGGAATGTCAAGGGTCAGTCTTATACGTTGTCAACTCTGTAACTGCATGTGCGTATGGGTGCTACACTAGTGGCTTATAGTAGTATAACGACTACAGAAACCACCGTGAAATGAGTTACGTTGCGACCACACTGGTCACATTGGAAACAGCATGCCTGTTTTATCTTTAGCAGGCATCGGTCTAGAAGAACAAACGTAATCTGCAAGTGCATGGCATTAGTCACGATCGTACAAGTGGCACTTACATCGACTGGTACTTACTGGTAATTACAAATTAGCACTGACGAGAAAGCATACAAATCGTTAAATATGGCGCACCTTAATGTAGGCCACCACACGGAGCAGTGTTGCAGCGACGTACATCGTATTTCGTATTGAATCCAGCATATTCCAGCTATCCTTGAGGTAATGGGCTATGCCTATTGACCATATTTCAGTTGCCTCTTCCCATATGTGAGCTGCAAAACAAAAGGAACCCGTTTAGCAAGCACTCTCTTGCCTTGGGCAGGAAATATGACATGCTCAAGGTGGAAGTGGCATGCTTTAGTGCACTGAACGGTTCAATTACTTTGAGTGACTTGACCTGCACTGGGTTATTTATTAATATTGATGATGTTCCTCTGATAACTCCACCCACAAACGGGGGTCGGCCAAGAACCGGGCAAAAAAACACAGAAAATAAAGCTAATTGATTTGATTGATTTGTGTGGTTTAACGTCCCGAAACCACCATATGATTAAAGACGCCATAGTGGAGGGCACCGTAAATTTCGACCACCAGGGGTTCTTTAAGGTGCACCCAAATCTGAGCACACGGGCCTACAACATTTCCGCCTCCATCGGAAATGCAGCCGCCGCAGCCGGAAAATAAATCTATAAAACAAAATCGTAAATAATGAATGAAAATGCAGCACGAGTGAGTGTTAAGGCTATCAGATAAAAATAATATTATACCAACAATGTAATCTTTCTGTTTGTTTTACGTACGCAAACACAGCACAGCAAAACTCCTTGTGACTATAACCTAATGTTATTCCTTCAAGGAATAATATTACTGTAAATTTACTTCTAAACCCACCTTTTCGTTCAGATCGACAAGATATCTTTTTCTTTGATGAAAATATTGGCGAACTGTAAATTTACTTCTAAACCTACCTTTTCGTTCGGATCGACAAGGTATCTTTTTCTTTGATAAAAATATTGGCGACAGAATAAAAAATGGTCTATTGTTCCTATTTTCTTAAAAGATAGACATAACGGAGATAATGTGGGCTCAGCTTTATGTAAAAAATAATTCACACGCAGAATTCTACAGCGTAATCTGATGATTGGAATATCTAACTCCTGGAATACACACCAGTTTTGCTCCAGAAAAATCTCAGATGTACGAAGCCTCTGACTTTCTCTAGTGATAATTTGGCTATTTCCTGTGCAAGCAAGTATTTTCAAATATTTGTGCGTTTAAGTAAGGCAAATCAGGTAAAATATGGAAGAGGGATTCGATTATAGATAATGTGGTTCGTTTCATTCAGATAAGTCCTGCGGTGGCCAGGTACCCATAGCAAGTGAATTTTAGTCAGGTTTGCTGGTATGAAACTACTAAACATATTCTTGAGTGTAAATTTTTTGCTTCAGAGAGTGCAGCACAAACTGAGAGAAAATCAGTAAATATGACTGCTTCTGATTCGCTTGCAGGAAGCTTATGAAGTGTGAGAACGATAGAAAATAATTCAGCAATGACTTGAGAAGTGTAGTTTGGTAGCAGAACTAAAAAATACCAGTGAGACATCCCAATTTACTGAGCACTGGGGGAAGTCAGTCCTACGATGATGATGATCATCACGACGATAATCTGATAAAGCGCAGATGACTGGAATTTTGGGAAGCTTTCGCGGATGACTTGGACATCAGGGGTGGGCAGTAGAAAACGTGCCGTGTTTGATATTTACGCACAAGCTATGTTATTCTATAGGGTGCCATGAAGTGCGGAGCTCCTTAAGCTCAGATTTCGTCGAGCACGCAAAACGAATCGGTGCAGAGCAAAGCCGTACAACATGCACAAGAAGAAAACCGAGGGTACCATGTCATCCTTGTTCGCATAATCAACGGGCAACGCAAGAGTGAATAATTCGCTTGCGCGTTCAGAGATGAAGCATTTCCGATCATTTCGCTGGCATTACCAACTGATAGTTTCGCTCGCTCTACCCTGTCTCCACCTTCTTCACGAAGGCATAAACTAGCTGCTCCGCAGTTCCCCTCGCAATGCCCGATGATGACGATGGCCATCAAGAAGAAAGAGCTTGAAATCCGACCTCTCGGAGGAAGCTTACGTTACTCGGAAGTCAAACCAATTACAGCTGCTTCAGCGATCTCAATTACAACCTCAAAAGGGATCAGAAAGCTACTCCAGAGTAAGAGATTACTTTCCATGTTACTTTTTATTTTAATTTTATTAGACGCGAAGAGTCTCATGGTCGAGCACAATCCGGTGGTCTCTTAATGTGTATACGCGTCCCTTGCTCCTCTCTCCTCTCCTACGCTCCCCATTTCTCGCTTCGCAACGCCGACGCACGCAGCGTCTGCTAGCGAGTTTCTCGATTGAAAAAAAAAAAAAAACCGACCGCTTACGCTGCACAAACGTTCACTAGCCGACCCATTCATTTAGGCACTGGATCTTCACCTGCAATGTAGGGCCGGTGGAGATTTCTCCTGCGCGTTATTGAACAATAAAAAAGCCGCAGTGGGCGCGTCTCTGTGTCCCATTGGAGTCTTTTTTTCTTTCATTGCCCATTGGCACTGACGGGCATGTTACAGTAGAAAACACCGGTCCATCACTGCGTGACTTGCGCTTCTCTGGGTTCCTCTCCTGTGCAACGCCGCGATGAGCACCAGCGTCCACGCCGCTGCCAGTGTAAGCGTCAGTGCCCATCGCTTCACTCCTACTCACGGTTACCTTTAGCGACAGATCCTGTATTTTATTGTTACCCTATTATGGCAGTGCCAATATACATATGGGGCCATTGGAAAATCCAGTCAAAACTGAGTACCTCAGCGTACTGGCTTCAAACTTTTGAGTTAATGTTGCTGATACACGCTATATCGTGTCCAATTTTGATGTTCAGCTTGAAACCCGCCACGAAAATTTCATGTAGTTCTTTAATTATTTATTTTATATTATAGGAGTATTTTGATATTGAAAATGGAAATAATTGTACGAAAATATTGTTACTCCTTAAAGAAAGTCATATATATTTAACAAATGAGCGCTAGATAAAGGCTTAATAAGTATAAGGCAAGTTGCCCGAAAAACTGGCTTGCGAAGTGATTGAGGAGTTACAAAATGCCAGTAAAATGTAATAAGTTGTAAACGGTGCCTTAAATGGGATCGCATTCTTGATGAATCTTCGCGATGGAAGTCTTACCTATGACGAAGGTTAGGATTGCCACTTCGACAAACGAAGGCGGCAGGCCTCGCTGCTGTTGTTTTGTTACTACGCCACCTTGAAAATGGGAGTGAAGATCTTCCAAGTTCACCCTTTGAGATGCCAGAATCAAGAGAACTGGAATCAGACGTCAAAGAAAATAGAGAGTGCAAATTATTTCAGTTACCTTCAGCATGAAATTTTTGTGTAATTTAACACCCGTTCCACCTCATTCACTTAGGTGTGCCTGGTTTCTCGCACTATTAAATAAACAATAATAGGGGACCATTTCCCCGAATCTTCGTTTGACTGAAAGTGTGCGCAGAATCAAGTGTTCCGTCAATCGATACGACATCAACGTGAGTGATGGGTGTGAGTGCACCTGTGTCAATGCTTCATCACAAGAACTTTCTAGTGCGCTAGATTGACTGTATGATCGCCTTTTGTCGAGAAAATGGATTCTGTGACACTGGCCGAAGGCGTCTTTAATCAAGAAGGCTTTCAAAGCGTATTACTAATGTTTTTTGACGACGACTGGTCTTGAAGACAGACTTCAAACAGTGTCGTTTTTCTTTCCCTGTAGTTTTCCTTCTTTTGCAGCATCATTTTTTGTAACATATATTTTCTATAACCTTTTACTCCCCCTTCGCCAGCACAGTGTAGCCAACCTGCCTGTTTTTGTTTCTTGCTTTCCGCTTGTGGCATTTGGCGACTGTCTTTGAAACTGGGAACCCCGATGGTGAAGCAGGGGCCACTTGGGCTAGAGAGTGCGCATGGAAGGCAACATGCTCGGTAAATCAGTAAAATGTACCATCGTGCGATGTTACCGCGATGGCCCCGATGGTATGGGGGCACAGAATAGTTCCGTATGTTCCAACCACTTGCTGCCGGAAGTCTATGAAACCATGGACCCTAAATGCTATTGTTATGTAGAGACAGCGCCCCAATCGAAACAATATGATGTTATGAACCATGGTCGAATAGGGCTCAAAACATGGCTGCGTCGCCATGTTTTGTTGACGAGAGAGACTTTTCATTGGCTGTCTTAAATTGACGTCAGCTGCACAGTTGCACAGTCGTCGGGAACGTCAGCTATGAAACCAAAGTTGCGCTTTTTTAGTTATTCCGTAAGCCCTAACGATCACACTAGTCTAGGTGAAGGATTGAAAGGACGGCCAGTATTGTGAATACTAACATAGTTAGAAAATCTTGAAAAACTCTTCACGACCGCTTTAAGTTTTTTGTCTACATTGTGGTGTGACGCGAGAAACTAGGAGCGAGCGTCACGCCACCACCTTGAAGCCCTGCCATGGAGCAAAAAATAAAGTTAGTAGAGAGAGTCAAGTGAGAGTTTCTATGGCTGGTCTTGAAGATTGCCCCGTGGCGGCCCCACCGCGTTTTCTTCTATACCGTGGCTAGATTTCAAGACTGCCGCGTAACGCTCCCTCTGGGTTTTTTCCTTCATTGTGGTGTGACGAGAGAAACTAGGAGCGAGCGTCACGTCACCACCTTGAATTCCAGCCATGGAGCAAAAAATGAAAGTAGGAAAGAGCGTGGCGTTGCAGTTTCCATGGCTCGTTTTGAAGATTACTCGGTGGTGCGCCGCGCCCACAACGTAAGTTCAAAGCATTTCTTAGCGAACTTCGGCGACTTTGAGCGTATCTATCTATCTATCTATCTATCTATCTATCTATCTATCTATCTATCTATCTATCTATCTATCTATCTATATCTATCTATCTATCTATCTATCTATCTATCTATCTATCTATCTATCTATCTATCTATCTATCTATCTATCTATCTATCTATCTATCTATCTATCTATCTATCTATCTATCTATCTATCTATCTATCTATCTATCTATCTATCTATCTATCTATCTATCTATCTATCTATCTATCTGTCTGTCTGTCTGTCTGTCTGTCTGTCTGTCTGTCTGTCTGTCTGTCTGTCTGTCTGTCTGTCTGTCTGTCTGTCTGTCTGTCTGTCTGTCTGTCTGTCTGTCTGTCTGTCTGTCTGTCTGTCTGTCTGTCTGTCTGTCTGTCTGTCTGTCTGTCTGTCTGTCTGTCTGTCTGTCTGTCTGTCTGTCTGTCTGTCTGTCTGTCTGTCTGTCTGTCTGTCTGTCTGTCTGTGTTCGCCTACGTACGACGTTTAGCGCTCCTGGGCGCTTCTATATAGGTATCAATACCAAAATTGCTATGGCATAACATGACTGCAAGGCAAACATAAGTGACAGACGCTAACCTGGAAATCATCTTATGCTTGTGGTGTGAAACATGACTGCAATTAAGCTACGCTCATAGCATGCTTGCGTTCACTTCGCTAGCTCCACATATACCGAATTCGGTACCACGCTACGTGAATACATGACGAAGGTAAATCAGACGTCCAAACATGATAATCATGACTTGGAAGTCATGCACGGCATAATTTAGGTTTTCTCGTAACGTTGTGCTTATCTTAAGGTGACACATCAACCTTCGCATTCTTGCTTCGCATACAAGTGATTTCCACCATACGTGGGTCTAATTTTTTTTGACTGCGATTGGAATACAAGTGTTCCACTCGACGCTCGCTAAAGCTTTTTTTCTCTCAATGGTGGTGTCATAAAAGAAAAAAGCGAGCGTGACGTGACAGTCGTGTAGCCCACCATTGTGCCATATGGAAATATCGAATGCATGATTTACGTCTGGTAATACCGAAATTGAAGAATAAATGATCTAACAATTTGCATAGCAAATTGCGTCAGCTCGAAATGACCGCTTATATGATAAGAAACGAGCGCTCCACATTGCGGCGGCGCATGAGACTACGTGCGCTCGAGCTTTGGTGACACTGAACGGGCCGAAAGACATACGTGTGGTGAAGAATGAAATGATGGGGGTGCTTCAAGCGTGTCTCCCTCAGCTAAAAGCAAAGCACAGCTGGCGTACGCAGCCAAGCCTAAATAGATCTTTTTCAAGCACCCAAGCCCGACCAACGGGCGCGCAAGCGCTTATGAGAAAAGTTGGTAGGCTGCAGCAGCAGCCGCGATGAGCGCAAGGGCCTGACACTTCACCTTTCCCTTTGATCCGTGCCAGCGCTTTTCCGATCAGGTGAATTCGGCAAGGTGTGATACATTACTGCCTGATTCACTCACAAAACAGCAGTGTTTGGGTGTGAGGGCCAGTCTATGACTTGGACTTGTGTTCGCGATCAACAAGCTGAGCGAATAAGAAGCGTCAGTTAACTATTGTTGTCCTTTGGCGTCAATCCACCTTCGGAATACGTAAAAACAGTACAACTTGGTTCCCTGAGGGTGCAAGCACTGCCCATAATTTCACGGCATTAGGAATCATTGTTCTTTGAGGACGTTTACGAGTAAACTGTACGGTTATGGTGTATATAAAGAGTGCTTTAGAGATCAGTGTAATTTCGTAAAAGAAAATAGATTGACTAGACCACTTAGGGCCACTCGCAGCATATGCATCTACCAACTTCCCTTGTAACTGTAACTGCAGAATGTAATAAAACCTACAGCACGAAAGGAAAGAAGTACCACCTGGAAAAAAATATACACGCCTGGAAACGCTTACTCACGACTGAAAGATTATCGAACGAGTTGACGAAAATATATAAAATATGGGGGTTCCTCGCGCATGTCACAAAAAGGTCCAAGAAGATTAACAACTGAGGCGCGTCTTTACAAGTAAATAAAAAATTGGCCGGTCCTACGTACAGTGGGAATCGATAATATGCAAAGCATGAATAAGAAAGGTTGATATGGCACTTTAAGATCACCACAACGTTACGAGGTGGAGGTAAATGATCGAATACATGACTTCGTGTCATGATCATCATGTTTTAATGTGTTGTTTACCTTCGTCATCTATCCACGTGATGTGATGTTAAATTTAGTATATGTGGAGCTAGCGAAACGGTAGCGAGCACGCTACCAGCGTGGTGTTCTGTCACTTTCTTACATGACACGCGTGTCAGAATTATCACGTTTGCACCAGTCATATTGTCACGTGCGTCCCACGAGAAGAAGTTTGGTCACCCGTTTGGTCATCCGTTTACATCACGTAACACCAAATTTGGTATATGTGCAGCTAGCAAAATGGCCGCGAGTGCGTCATGAAGGGCCCAATTCTTTACTCCAATGTAGTGTTGACGCGCTCGCACGCTAGGACCAGCGACACTACGTTGTAAATACGCGAGCACTCTACAGTCTGATGGGGAGTCTCTTTCGAGCGTCCAGTGTGAACGGACGTGTCTTTCTGAGCTCTTGCGTCGGCGAGAGACACTGCGGGAGCTTCGCACTACCATGAAATATTATGGCGCCAGTTACCGACCCATACGTTTCCTACCCCATCTTTTCGCCATCTTATACACCCTGTGATATATCCCTCCCCTTTGTGCATTTTCTGTCAACAAAGAGCTAACCTAGACCATATCATGTGGGGGTGTACTCGAAACCCACCACCCAATTCTGTACACATTAATAGTAAGTAGCAGTGGGAGGCTGCTATGTGCAGCTCGGCGCCCGAAGTCCAGGACCAGATCTTGATTGGGCCAAGAGGGTAGCGGGGGATCTACGCTGGGTAGGCTCCTCTGACACTCCACCACCACACCTTTCCCTCTTGGGATGAATAATGTTTTACTCCTTCTCCTCCTGTCGTCTTCGAATGATTGCTGACAGAGTATTGCTTCAATCCTCCGGAATTGTACACCGTTCGACAGATGTCATTGAGAGGATTCTACCGAGCCAATGTTTTACCTGGTAGGCCCATTTTTTACCGTTTTTAATGAATTTTCTTCGACCGGGCATCCTCCCATGCCGACGAAACGGCATCATGCCGGAGGTGATGGTGGTGGACGGGAAGTTATTTCCCAAGAAGACGCTAACACGCCTGGGCGGCAGACTGCTTTAGGCAAGAATAAGCGTTCTTTCCAACAAGCGACTGCTTCTTCTCAAAGTGGTGCAACGGCTGGCCATCGCACGGCCAACGCACATGGCGTCGTTCGTCGTCTTGGAGCCGCATCGCGGCTTCCCCGATTGCCGAGAAGCCATATTCGAGTCATAGTCCGACCGAAAGAAGGCCTGAATCTCAAGACGGTTAGCCTGATTCGTCTAGCCCAAGCCCTGGAGACG